TTTATTTCTTTTGGAACTCTATGCTTACACGAACGAAGGGGAGCCCCCTGTTTTTACAATGTTTTCCCAACAGAAAATTCAAGATGGCCAGCAGAAACCCCCTTCTGTTACCATTTTTGTTCTCCTCTCCGTCCCCCCACTCGGTTTCATTTTCAGTCCCCTCTCTAGTTGATTTTTGCTTTCTGTTTTATGTGTCTTTCGTCCTGCTCCTTGCTTGGTGTGCTTGCAGGTCACGGGTGCGAGCTGGTCACGGGGCTTCAGCTGCCTGGGCACGGGTGATGGGGAACAACCCCGAGGGACTTCACATGGGTAGCACTTGGTTGGTTCGCGCACTGTCTTGGAGTTCTGAGTGCGTTGGGAGCCATTGGCACAGGGTCTTCACGCGTGGAACGTGGGCAGCACGGGCTGCTGGGGTCTCGTGCATCGTGGAGAAGTGAGTTCATGTGTGCTCGGTTGTCTTGGTGACTGAGCGTGGCATTGCTTTGGGCTTGCTGTTTGGTGGGTTGTGGGGCATGCTGCTCGGTTGGAGTGCTGTTGATAACCTTGAGGACTTCACGTGGGAGACACTTGGGTGTTGTGGAGGATGGGCACGGGAATGTGGGGAGCTGAGCTGGAGCTGGAGCTGCTGCACATCCTGGGGCTTCACGTGAGGAGTATCTCTAATAGAGTACTAGATCGGGTCTTGATGTAATTATTGATGGGCTTTGTTTGTTGGGCCTCGGGTATATTGAGTCTTGTAATTTGAGTCTAGTTTGGGCTCAATGGACTTTGGACACTTAATTTGTATTTGTGATTGAATTTCAATTTGTGTCCCGATTTCCATATATGATTCCAATCCCAATCGAGCACCTGAAGCCTTCAAATGCAAAATTCCACGCTCCATTATTTGAATTAAATCTTCATCGAGCACAAACATCTCCAAATTAATTCTCGTTAATCATCAAGTGAATTTAAATGGCCCGGACAAAATTAGGGTATTACATATTGATAACATGGTTTTATGGCATTTTGATTTTGACATTGAAATGCATGAATTGTATTGCACTGTTTATTGTTTTAATTGCCTCACTAAGTATATACTTAGTGTGTGATGATTTTCACGCGTGGGTAAAAAGCCAATAGTGGAATAAAGAGTTCAAGTTGACATCAAGCATCGAGGAGTATATTTTAATATCAGTAAGACATCCTATGATGAAATTTTGACTTAGATAGTGGCATGTAATTAATAATGTTCAATTTATTTTGTTGAACTAATTTTGCAAACAAAATGGTAAATTTATAGTGATGAAAGGTTAAGTTTTTATGAGTTTTATGTATTTTTTGGAAATTACTGTAGCAGTGCATTGATGCATTGTAGCAGTGCATCAATACACATTTTAAGTTCGAATTTTTGGTCCATCGGTACACTGTTCATTGTTCACGGGGTACTGTTCATACGTATATTACTGTTCATGAAAAAGTATTTTTTTCAAATTTGTTATAACAAACATAATTCATCAATATATACTTGTATTTTATTAATATAAGTTCAAATGTGTTGATTTAGTAAGAACGTTGTTTTAAAAAGTTAATGTGATATCTCGGATTCGTATCCGGGTCGGGTACGGGTTGGGGTGTTACATTAATACTATCAACTACATTTCTTTAATTTAAACAAACAATTTTATTAAAATATTCTAAGTAATTTTCTTATGTTTTTATACTTCAAATAATTAATCTAAAATTTAATAGAGCAATCATATTTGATCAGTTGGCTATTCGTTCCATCATATTCTCCTATATCATAAATTATAAACTCATTAGTAGCTCTCCCCATCTTCTCCTTGGGTAGGATTAAGATTAGACTTACAATTTAAAGGGAAAAAGCCTACTTTTATTGTGTTTTAAAAGGTATTAAATATTTAATTCAGTATAAAAATCCATTATTAAATAAACTCATCTTACTCGTGCGTATGTATGTATATTGTTCTCTTTACAATTGATGTATAATAAAATGATAGTACGAAGGAAACGAAATGAGTATATAAATGCACTGAATAAATGTATGGCATAAACTTCATGACAAATACTAGAATTTTCAAGTATTAACGCTATTCTTGGAAAAATAAAATAATAACTTAATTCTTTAAAATATATGTAATAGACAAACACAAAGTCAAGGCATCAAAATCATGTTGAACGACAGAGGCTTGGCGTCCAACAATATTTTAATTCAAGGAAACCCTGCTACTCAGATAAGTAGATGTACTTATTTTGCAGGAAACATATAAGTAGAGGTACTTATAATAATGCATGGACGGATCCATTTAAGCTGGTGGAGGACCTGGCACAAAGGCAATGTCATTGAACTTCCAGTGCCCATCGTCCGCCTGAACCATGTTTTTGAACAATTCTTTAGTCCACCAGTTATCTGGTATTTTGTATTCGTCCAGTAAACCATCAGTGTATTTGTTTATGACGGCATTATCAAATCCAACTTCTTCTTCCAGTTTGAATTCTCCATTTTCTTGCTGCCCTGCAATTGCATGCTGGTAAGCCTCCAAATTGTGAGCACTAATATTCCATTTCAAATAGGGTGACTTGGTCGCGTCAAGCCCTAACTCTTTTCCCACATGGAAGTAGATTCCTGGTAAGAACGGGAGCTTTGGAACGTGGTCCGTCGAATTTACAATCCGGAGGATACGAAAATTCTCGAGTTTATCACAGACGCCACTGAAGAACATGTTCCCGATGCGGGGGCTCGCGATCGGAAAAGCAGTCACCATGAAGGCCTTATTCGGATTGCCTGCAGGCTTATTGAACCCATTGTGAGCAATGTCCATAGCGTTTAGGGTTGCAAGTGCAGCGCCCAGACTATGGCCTGTCACAGTTATGCTCACCTCCTCATTCTGATACATAGTTATCAGCTGCTGCAACACTTTACAAACCTGACGGACCATTAATAGCAAATTAATGAACTGTTAAGTCATCATATACGTACGTATACGTAAATGTGTATGTACATGGATACATGTAAAGATTTACCTGTTCCCTGGCGCTGGTTTTGGCATAAGGGGAATTTGCAATTGACTTTGTATAGATGTTGTAAAAACCAGCATGCACCTGAACAATGTCGTGTCCGAACAATTCTTTAGCCGATGTTTGAAAAATATTAGCATCGTTAGCCCACTCGGTGTGTGTTATGGTTCCCCTCCACGAAACGAGAATATCCCTCCTTCCCAGAGCAGTTTTTCCTTGGTCGGTGGCCACCGCGACATATCCGAAATAGGCAACTTCATCGGCAGCTGTAGCAGCATATATAAAGCTCACCACTTTATAATGGTAAGAGTTACCGGTTTCGAGACCAACCCTAGCGAAAAACTCATCAGCAGGGTATAGGCTATGGGCATAACCCTTGGATGCCCTAGTCCCATTGAAAGCATCACCGGCGGCTCCGGCCCTTTGACAATAGTGAATGAGATAGCGGCGGAGATCGATATCCAGAAGGCGCAACAGACCCTCCCAGTTATTCTCTCCGCTAAGTTCTCTCCATCGAGAAGCTATTGCCATAGTTCTCTCGTAGCTTTGTTGTGCATGCTTTATATACACTGGGCAGCGGATATCAACGTCCTGTAATGAATAATACAGTAGAAAAACAGGTAATGTATCCATATTTTTAACATGTCAAATAAACATTTCCTTAAAGCTTGATGGACCCATGAGCCTTGATGAGTAGGTAGCATCGTCCAATCAAATCCAGCCCTTCACATTGTACCAATGCCAGATATATGCATTAACTATATCCATTATGAAATCTAAATTTTATTTGATTAATTATCTATTTCATTAGTAATTTTTCATACAAAAATTTTATATTATTAACAAATGTATATATATATATATATATTCTCTTTAAAAATTTATATTTATAAATATATTCTTATTTTTATCAGTTGATTTATTGATTTTTTACATGTCATGTTTCTTTTTGAATACATGTTTAAAATTAATAAATGTTTATTTGTCAAAAAAAATTGATAAGAGTTTTTTCAAACACTATTTATTAAGATTTATTTATTTTATTAAAAATAAGTATTTGTTAGTTGTTATATACGCGACGAATGTAAATGAGAAAATAATATTTAAAAATAAATGTATATTATAGTATATTATCATTTAATTGACTAATTGTCATCGTCAAAATTATGTAGGTTTGACCCTTCAATTTGCATTAATTAACCGCGGTCTACTACAACTGATTCATGCACCACTGGAAAGAGTAGGTGATCTAGACTCGGATTAATGAAAATCAGTACAAACCAATTTAGTTTAGTGATTAAAGAAGTCGATGTTGTTTTTAGATGTTACAGATTTAAACACCAACAACTGTAACAAGATGATTGAACGTTCATTGTCAAATGAATAAGAGTATTTAAAACAAACATTGTTTTATAATCGCTTAACTTAATAAAAAAAATTAATAACAACCGACCAAGACTCGAGGAATAGGATCGGCGTGTATGAAATCTAACCCTAGGTAGTTTTGATATAATTTTCTCAGGTTAATGTTTCAATGGAATTTAATTTCTACGGATGTGACTATATACTGGAACGATTGTACACAAAAGTGTGATTCAGATTTTGAGACAAAAAGTTTTAGATATTTAATGTGTATTTAAATTAAAATATATATATTATATTTAAAATAAATTCAAATGAGTTACGTTTGTGTGATTTTATAATTAAAAATTAATCACATCAAATGTTTCTAAATTATTTTGTTAGTTTTAAATCAATCTTAAAATTTTAAAAACACTTTAATTTCATCTTAAACTATCAAATCATGCTAACAAATTATACTTTTTTAACTAAAATTATTTACTTGATTGTTAAATATCACGGCTCCTACAATATAATCGACGTGGCATGAATTTATGCCAAAGTGAATAGTCCCAACGACAGGCTGGCCGGTGTAGATTCATCGAACAACGTTAATGCCAATTTATCGGTTTGATTATCACTCAACTTTGCTTCTCCACTAATCTCAAAATCTGATTTGGATTCTCATAATAACATGCTCGTTGCAGTGACTCATGAATGGAGATTGGCTGGTTTGTATAAACCATGTTCGTCGTATGCCTTGACTTCTTTGACCAGGGAGTTTCCATTGCAGGTTTTAGCTTTCGATGACCCTCCAGACCATGTTCTCCAACTAAACTCAATAAATTACTCTGTTGTTGAACAACAATAGCCACCGGCGTTTTCAGAAAATTAAAAATGAAGTGCTAAATTTTAATTTTTTTAAAAAAAAACCGAGCATAAAATTTTCTTATTTTTTTATTTTTTAATATATTAAATTAAAATTAATAATTTTTAATATATTAAATTAAACTTAATTAACCGCGATCTACTACAACTGATTCAGACACCTCGGGAAAGAGTAGGTGCTCTAACCTCTGATTAATGAATATCGGTACAAACCAACTTATCTTAATAGTTAAAGGAATCGTTGCTTTTTTTTAAGAGATTACAAGTTTAAGCACCACCTACTGCAGCAGGACGATGAGAATTTATTATCAAATTGATGAAAATATTTAAAACAAATACTATTTTATAATCGTTTTAACTTAATAAAAGAAATTAATGACAACCGACCAAGACTCGAGGAATAGGATCGGCGTGTATGAAATCAACCTTAGGTAGTTTTGATATAATTTTCTTAGGTTAATGTTTCAAGGAAATTTAATTTCTACGGTTGTGACTATATAATGGAACGATTGTACACAAAAATGCGATCAAATTTTGAGACAAAAAGTTTTAGATATTTAATATGTATTTAAATTAAAATATAATTGTCGAAAAGATTTCTTAAAAAATAAATTTATTTTTCAAATGATTTTTAAAAAAATATCGTCTTGATTAATTTGGGGTCTCCTTTTAAAATAAAATAAAACGCGGTTTGAAGAGTCGCCACCAATATTTGATTAGGGTGTAATTGGACACTCAAAATGTTTTGTCATTTTAATAAAATTTAATTTAAAAATTATTAAAACAATATTTTTACGGTCCACGTTACAAAAAAATTTAATTCGGGAGTCGGTTATACGTGGGAAAGGATTAACACCCCACAGCGCCCTAAATCGGTACCTAGTCGATTAATTAGTTATATTTGCAATGAAATTTACGAATTCGAGTTTAATTTAGTTTAAGATCCATGCCAATAATATTCTTTGAATTTTATAACGAAACAAAATAATATTTAATTATTTCCTATCGGGAAGAAACAACCTCTCATGCCTTAAAGCAATCATTTCCCACTCCAATCGAAATAAAAAAAATATTACAATTCCATTTCTAAAGTTCATTAACTCTAAATTCAAATGCATAAATACCAATAAAATAAAACAAATTAAATTTAAGATTTCTTTTTAAACATATTCCTTGAATTTTAGGATGAAAAACGGCAATATTTAATTATTTGCTATCGAGAAGAGAAGACCCCTCATGCCTTAAAGCAGTTATTTCTTACTCCATTCGAAATAAAGGAATATTACAATTCCATTCTAAAATTTGTTATTAATTCGAATGCATGAGTAATGATAAAAGTAAAATTAATTAAATACAAATTACTAATCATTTAAGAAAGAAGAAGGATGCTCGATTATTTAAAGATATCGAGATCAGGCCTTTTATAAGTTCTAAAGATCTATTCTCGATAAATTTAAATATATGAACATTTCTTTTTCTCTCGTTTTCAAATTTTACGGGTAATAAAATTTTAGGGTTTTACTTGACGAGATACACTTTCATTTTAAAATTATCGAAAGTAATTTTCTTACATGTTAAGATAGTGACTTCACAACAATCCTAAAATGAAAGATTATTACCCTTAATTCAATTTTTTAGTCGAATAAAGATATACTTATGAGGATAACATACATTTTACATGCAAAAAAATGTTTACACCTATATGTATAAATAAACATATTTACACAACATTCATTATTTTTTCTTTTTTTTAATAAATATATATAATAAATATAATAATAAAAATATATTTATGAAAACAAATATATTGATAAAAACACCAATACACTAATATATTCATTAGATATTATCGTTTTCACTCGAATCAATATTGAATTTTAAGACGAAATAGTGATATCTCTTTATTTCAATTGGGGTAATAAAGTATTGTTTTAAGGCATGAAAGGTCATTTATTCTCGATTGGAAATAATTAGATATTATCGTTTTCTATCTTAAAATTATTTTGGTTGTTGTTATTTTGAATTATTAATGAACTTTAGAATGAAATTTTAATATTTCCTTATTTCGATTGGAGTAAGAATCGACTACTCTAAAGTATAGAAGGTCGATCATTCTCAATAGGAAATAATTAAATATTATTGTGTTTCATCTTGAAATTCAAAAGAATATTACTTGTAGGGGATCTTAAATTAAATTAGACTTGAATTCTTAAATTTCATTGCAAAGACAACTAATTAATCGTCTAGGTATCGCTTTAGGGCGTTGTGGGGGTGCTAATCCTTCCCACACGTAACCGACTCCTAAACTCAAATTTTGGTAACGTAGACCGCAAATTTGTTGTTTTAATTAAAATTAATATTTTTTAAAATGGAAAATATTTTTTTGGGTGCCCAATCACACCTTAATCAAAGGTTGGTGGCAACTCCTCGAACCACGTTTTATTATTTCAAAAAATCATTTTGACATATACTAAAGTGTAAAGTAGTATAGGTACCCCATTGGGTATCGGTATCTATTTTGCATTATGGAATTTGAGCAATTTGGAAAACAACTGGCAGTATCGATACTACCTAGAGGGTATCAATATTTCTCTTACCTTTGGTACCAGTACCACATGAACAATATTGATATTGTTCATGTAGTATGGATACTATAAAAACAGTATCGGTTCTACGTACCCAGAAAACCTTTTTTGTGCTCAAATTCTAGTTCAATGGACTTTGAATTATTTTTGAAAACTTTGAACAAATTCAATCAAGTCCAAAAACATTTTGGCTTAATTTGTTATATCAAAATATTATAAAACATAGTTCAACAATCTCCTCCTTTTTGATATAACAAAACATTTGAAAATTTGTTTTTGGCAAAACTCCCCCTTAATAAAATATTTCATGAAAATATAAATATTTGGAAAATATTAAAGCTCCCCCCTTTTCATTCTTTAAATTGAAAATTTCAAACTCATACTTCTCCCCCTTTTTGTTATATCAAAAATAATTCAACTTTAAAGTTCAAGAATAACAATGGAGAGTAAGTGATCAAATTTTAGCATAAAATCATTTGAAAAATCAAAGCTCCCCCTCAATAAATGCATTCCAAACAAAAAAAAATTGACTTTAAAGGCATGACACTTAAAAGACATTGAATTTCAACAAAGATGAACAAACATGTTATTAGCACATGAAATTCAATATATCCAAGTCTAATATACTTCATGCAATATTAATTGTTGTATTTAAGTTCATGTGCATAAAGCTATCAAAAGATGTTATGCATTTGAAAAATTGATATCAATTGTTAGATATATATCATTTGCAACAAATCACATGCATCAACATTTAAATTAATGTCAAAAACTAAAAATTTATACAAACAAACCATTAAAATTAATTTTGACCAAAATTAATTATGATGAACAAATATTTATGAAAAATCATTAAAACTTTAGAAAATGATCATCACAATACACTTTTCAACATACATGAGATGAAAAACATAAAATTATTTAAAATCAAAACTCATGCATGCATACAACAAATAGACAACCAATTAATCAAAACAAAAACATTAAGCTTAGAGGTTACCCATTCATTTTCAAGTGTGGCTAGAGCATTTGAATGTCTTCACTTTCATCACCATTGCTCCCACACACCTACAAGAGACATTTAATTGGATTTTGGTATCCAAATTGCTTTGGATCCTAGTTTCAATGCCTCTTGTTCCCTTAGGAACCCATACTTGTCTAATTCTAAAACATTTTCCTTTCTTTATAGGACAAGCAGTCACCATGAAGGCCTTATTCGGATTGCCTGCAGGCTTATTGAACCCATTGTGAGCAATGTCCATAGCGTTTAGGGATGCAAGTGCAGCGCCCAGACTATGGCCTGTCACAGTTATGCTCACCTCCTCATTCTGATACATAGTTATCAGCTGCTGCAACACTTTACAAACCTGACGGACCATTAATAGCAAATTAATGAACTGTTAAGTCATCATATACGTACGTATACGTAAATGTGTATGTACATGGATACATGTAAAGATTTACCTGTTCCCTGGCGCTGGTTTTGGCATAAGGCGAATTTGCAATTGACTTTGTATAGATGTTGAAAACCGGCATGCACCTGAACAATGTCGTGTCCGAAAATGTCGTGTCCGAACAATTCTTTAGCCGATGTTTGAAAAATATTAGCATCGTTAGCCCACTCGGTGTGTGTTATGGTTCCCCTCCACGAAACGAGAATATCCCTCCTTCCCAGAGCAGCTTTTCCTTGGTCGGTGGCCACCGCGACATATCCGAAATAGGCAACTTCATCGGCAGCTGTAGCAGCATATATAAAGCTCACCACTTTATAATGGTAAGAGTTACCGGTTTCGAGACCAACCCTAGCGAAAAACTCATCAGCAGGGTATATAGGCTATGGGCATAACCCTTGGATGCCCTAGTCCCATTGAAAGCATCACCGGCGGCTCCGGCCCTTTGACAATAGTGAATGAGATAGCGGCGGAGATCGATATCCAGAGGGCGCAACAGACCCTCCCAGTAATTTTCTCCGCTAAGTTCTCTCCATCGAGAAGCTATTGCCATAGTTGTTTTATCTTCTTTGGTTTATAAACTCTAAACTTTCTTTGTAAGGATGCTCTCGTAGCTTTGTTGATCATGCTTTATATACACTGGGCAGCGGATATCAACGTCCTGTAATGAATAATACAGTAGAAAAACAGGTAATGTATCCATATTTTTAACATGTCAAATAAACTTTTCCTTAAAGCTTGATGGACCCATGAGCCTTGATGAGTAGGTAGCATCGTCCAATCAAATCCAGCCCTTCACATAGTACCAATGCCAGATATATGCATTAACTATATCCATTATGAAATCTAAATTTTATTTGATTAATTATCTATTTCATTAGTAATTTTTCATACAAAAATTTTATATTATTAACAAATATATATATATATATATATATATATATATATATATATATATATATATTCTCTTTAAAAATTTATATTTCTAAATATATTCTTATTTTTACCAGTTGATTTATTGATTTTTTGCACGTCATGTTTCTTTTTGCATACATGTTTAAAATTAATAAATGTTTATTTGTCAAAAAAATTGATAAGAGTTTTTTCAAACACTATTTATTAAGATTTATTTATTTTATTAAAAATAAGTATTTGTTAGTTGTTTATATATGCGATGAATGTAAATGAGAAAATAATATTTAAAAATAAATGTATATTATAGTATATTATCATTTAATTGACTAACTGTCATCATTAAAATTATGTAGGTTTGACCCTTCAATTTGCATTAATTAACCGCGGTCTACTACAACTGATTCATGCACCACTGAAAAGAGTAGGTGATCTAGACTCGGATTAATGAAAATCAGTACAAACCAATTTATCTTAGTGATTAAAGAAGTCGATGTTGTTTTTAGAGGTTACAGATTTGAACACCAACAACTGTAACAAGATGATTAAACGTTCATTGTCAAATGAATAAGAGTATTTAAAACAAACATTGTTTTATAATCGCTTAACTTAATAAAAAAATTAATAACAACCGACCAAGACTCGAGGAATAGGATCGGCGTGTATGAAATCTAACCCTAGGTAGTTTTGATATAATTTTCTCAGGTTAATGTTTCAATGGAATTTAATTTCTACGTATTTGACTATATACTGGAACGATTGTACACAAAAATGTGATTCAGATTTTGAGACAAAAAGTTTTAGATATTTAATGTGTATTTAAATTAAAATATATATATTATATTTAAAATAAATTCAAATGAGTTACGTTTGTGTGATTTTATAATTAAAAATTAATCACATCAAATGTTTCTAAAATATTTTGTTAGTTTTAAATCAATCTTAAAATTTTAAAAACACTTTAATTTCATCTTAAACTATCAAATCATGCTAACAAATTATACTTTTTTAACTAAAATTATTTACTTGATTGTTAAATATCACGGCTCCTACAATATAATCGACGTGGCATGAATTTATGCCAAAGTGAATAGTCCCAACGACAGGCTGGCCGGTGTAGATTCATCGAACAACGTTAATGCCAATTTATCGGTTTGATTATCACTCAACTTTGCTTCTCCACTAATCTCAAAATCTGATTTGGATTCTCATAATAACATGCTCGTTGCAGTGACTCATGAATGGAGATTGGCTGGTTTGTATAAACCATGTTCGTCGTATGCCTTGACTTCTTTGACCAGGGAGTTTCCATTGCAGGTTTTAGCTTTCGATGACACTCCAGACCATGTTCTCCAACTAAACTCAATAAATTACTCTGTTGTTGAACAACAATAGCCACCGGCGTTTTCAGAAAATTAAAAATGAAGTGTTAAATTTTAATTTTTTTAAAAAAACCCGAGCATAAAAATTTTCTTATTTTTTTTTATTTTTAAAATATTAAATTAAACTTAATAATTTATCTAAAATAATAAAATGTACTCGACTCTTAGAGAACTTAATACATCCGTCCTGATAATAATTTCCGAGTCTTTATTTTTATCTTTCTTCTCTCAAAGGTATTCAAAGAGATTTTTTTAGCCGGTGGTAATGCTTTAATGGTGTTAATATATGTTGGTAAATTTATTGTCATAAAATAAAAAATATGAACAATGATTATTACAAATAATAAAGATAAAGATAATATAATTATTGTGTTAAAATAATTTATTGATATGACCTCGGACGGTGGAAGAGACCTCGCTGATGGTCGGTGGTTACTCGGGTTTTAGAAATTTATTGGGGTTTGCTCGGTCGTTGAAGCAGAGTTATGGGGAATTTATGTGGGGCTTTCATGTGCATGGGATCGTGTCTTTCACATGGTGATGGTTGAGTCGGATTGTTTGCAAGCCATTCATTTGTCGCAAGGGCAAAGAATTGACAATAGCTTAATACCTATGGAACACCATATCCATGAGATTCTAACGCGTAGGCGGTCGACGAGGTTTTCTCATATTTCTCGGCATGCCAATCGTGTCGCTGATTGCCTGGTAAAGACAAGTCGTTATGTGGACCTTATGACGCATCTTTTGGAGAGTTCGCCAATTTAAGTTGTGGACTTATTGCGGGATGATGTGATAAATTCGGGTTGATTTCTGTCTTGAATCTTCTTGGTTTTTGTATTACCTTAAGGCTACTGTTTTTCCGGATATTTTAGGAGTTAGGTGTGTACTTTTTTCCTCCATTTAAGATTAGGAAGGTTTTTAACGAGGTACACTTAGCTTTCACTTTGTAGTTCTTTCTTTGTATAATTCCCTCTTGATCATACATTCTTTATCAAAAAAATAATAATTTATTGGTATAAAAATAAATTTGTTTATATTGATATAATTAAAAATGAATATTATATCCAAAGTGAATGCAATATTTTTAAATTGAGAAAATAACCTCAGTGACCGAAAATTCCTTATAATATACGATTTTAACCAACTTTTTTACGATTTTCCAAAATGACCAACAAAATCGCAATGCAATCTCTAAATCGCAATGCGATCTCCATTATCGCAATTCAGTTTCCAGATTCGCAATGCGATTTTGACCATCGCATTGCGATTTTCGAAATCCGCGTTGCGATTTTAGATAACACGTAATCGCAACGCGATTCGGACTATCGCAACGCGATAATACGTGATCGCAACGCGATTCTGACTATCGCAACGAGATTCTGACTAACGCATCACTGAATTTAAAATTCGCAACAGGTTTTAGTTTCGCAACACAAATGGGTATATAACTACTACGCAGCAGCATCAACTCATAACCTAAATCCCTAAATCGTAACTCATTCCATCTCCATCTATCACTCTCTCCGGCGACATCCGTTCTTATATCCAACGACATCCTTCCCCATCCGGCAACATGTTTTAGTTTCGCAGCTCGTTTGTTTAGTAAATTAATTTACAATAATGAAATCATCTAATGTTGATCATGTTTGGATAGATTTGTGTTTTGGAGGGTCATGGGAGAATGTTCATGGTGTTTTACAATATATGCCTTTACCCATGAATCTTCAACTAAAATTGTCATTAAAAAAGTTAACTTATGAAACTCTAATGTTACATGTTGCAAATAAATTGAATTTAGAGCCCTTAAGTGGATTTAGGCTATTTTATCAGAGAAAAGGTAAAGTTTATTTGTTAACCGACAATGAAGATGTTGAACGATTCATTGCTTACATTAGTGTTTCGCAAGATGATGTTACATTGTATGTTGTTGAACCTAGAAGTAGTGAAGTTGGGTCAGTAGCGGGTAGTAATCAACTAAGTTTTTCAACCCCAGTTTATGGTGCTCAAAATTTAATGGTTCCACCACAATTTCATCACCAAGCAAATTTTGTTTCACCACATTTCCAATACCAAACACAATCTCAAAACCCATAACCTTTCCCTAATACAAATCCCAATCAACTTTCAGCACCAAATTCCGGTTTTTGTATTAACCAGTTAGACGATGATGAGCCAACAGAAAAAATTGTGAGTACTAGTCGGTATTCGAAATTTGATCTTGGTCAATACCCGGACTTTGATCTTGGTCAATACTCAGATTTTGATGATGTTTCAGAAGAAGAAACAGACCCTACGTGTAATGATTTTGATATTGGTCAATACCTGAATTTTGATGATGAAACAGCCGCTGTCGAGGAAGATGTTGTTGATGATAATGAGGAGGAAGTTACGACTGTGAATGAACATGTTGAACATCCATTCTGTAATTCATATAACCCTGAAGAAGAAAAAGAAGAAGAAGAAATCCCCGAAGAAAATGCCACGAGAGTATAACTGGAATATGCCAGAATTACTTCAGATACCGGAAGAAGAGTTGGTAAAAATAGCAGTTGATTGTTACATAAAAATTATTCGTATCAAGAAAGATGATTGTTTTGATACAAAGGAAGACTTGAAGATAGCTTTGTATACGAAATGTGTGGAAGATGGCTATCAACTAAAAGTTAACAAATCAAGCAAATATCGTTTCGAAACAAGGTGTATCATTAACAAAAACTGTACGTGGCGTATGATTGCAAAGAGGATAAAAGATTGCGAAATATTTCAAGTTATGACTTTTTTTGATAAACATACATGTTCAAGAACCCAAGTTTTTCCTCACCATAGACAGGCAAACAAAAAGGTGTTGGGTAGTTTTCTGGCTGAGTTAATGTTCTTGAATGGCAGGGTATATCGGGGACATGAAATTATGACTGACATGAATGCTCGGTTCAAGATTAGTATCTCATATTCTTAAGCTTGGAGAGCCAAATGTTATGCCTTGGAATTGTTGAGGGGGTTTCCAGAAGCATCGTTTGCCCAACTGCCGACTTATTGTCACAATTTAAAGCTAAAAAATCCTTGGTCGGTAACTCATGTCAAAACAGATAGAGATTGACGCTTTGAGTTGATGTTTATCGCCATTGGTGCTGCGGTTAGTAAATCAATATAATTTTGTTGACTCATTTTTGTTAGTTACATGCATTTCACATTTAAATGATTATATTTCTTGTGTATATGATTTTGTAGATTCGTTCGTTTATTACTTGCATGCGCCCAG